TGGATGGCTAATGGCTGTGATGATGCTTGGATTGCTACAGGCACGTCCCCCAGGTCAGATTGGTTCAGGCTTGAATAGATAACAACAAGTCACACTCACATCGTTCATCTCCGTCAAACACGCCTGGCATGCCCACCAGATCAAGTGGCATACCCAGCTCTGCATCGGCCTCAATGTTCAGCGGCTGTTCTCGCGCCAGACGTGATGCAAACCCAGGCGTCGTGTATTGGCCGCTCGCGAGGCCGGTGTTGGGGATATCGAGCAGCTTCGGGGGATTCGGCGGCGGAGGCAGAGCATTGGAGAAGCGGATTCGCGCAATGAAGTCCTGGTGAATCATGCGCTCGCCTGAGCGAGCTCCCGAGGACGACATCTTGGCCCTTGTCCCTTTTCCCTTACTCGCTCCTGGTCGGTCGAATCAATGGAGCAGATGCTGCAAATGAGGCTGTAAATGAATGAATCGCTCCAGAGGCTCCGGCGTACAGGCGCTCAATTGCTGGTCCGACGGGCGATTGAAAGGCGTGGCCGAGTGTCGGTAATGATGGAGGGAAAAAAAGAGTCGCGCGCCGCACCTGAGAGGCGAGGCTGTCAAATCTGAGTGTAGCCTCTGCAGGCTCCCCACCACGCGACTTTTGCTTGCTGCAGAGGCCAAACAGCAGCAATTTTCGAACCGAATCAATGAATCAAACATGAAAAATAAAATAACATGAAGATGAAAATAAAAATCGAAGTGAGCAAGTAAAATCACAAATTGCCCATCAGCTCTTGATGCCCTAGGCGTACAAAACTATTTCATTAAATTAAGTATAGGTAGCTAGCTCTCTGTGAGAGTTTCGTCTCCAAGACCTGGTTCCCATGCGGTTTCGTATCAGTCATCCGTAGTCTAACCCATCCGTCTACGCCTTTTAAGGATTCAATGACAGGCCCTCGTTTGCTGCTTTTATAAATAAGAGAACATTCTCCTTCAAAGACCCGTCATTCGCCGCACATGCATTTCTTACATGAGCCTACAAAGGCGCATCGATACGTGCCCGTAGGCAGCTGCAATCTGTTACACACGGCTCAAGCCAACCAATTTGAAAAAATTCTCCATTCCCAGTATTCATTTCGAACCCCCAGGACAGAGGCTTCGTCTCCATGCGGTTATTGGCGGGTCTGTTTACGATCGGTCCTTGGCGTAGGACTTCTTGCCAATGGTAAAGGGCACGTAGCGGTACTTGATCATGTGTTGGATCTGGCGGCGCACTGGAAACGGTTGGTTAGCAGAGTGAAAGCAGGCACGGGGTTTGAGGGCTTCATACTCGTGAGGACAAAGAGGATCAACCAGTACATGACCAAGACGGGCCAGAACACGGGAACGTCAAAGATGGCGAACCAAGTGCAGACAAAGGAGATGCCAATGGCTCTCGTGGCCCAGTACCAGAACTTGAACTCGGGGAGGCGTCGGATGAAGGGCTTGAACTCCTCGTCCTGCTTGGTGGGGAGGGTTCCAACAGAGCCATCCTCCATTTCGCTATCCAGGGCATCGCTCGAGGGGTCGAACTTGGGCTGAAGGAAGGCCAGGAAAAGGTTCAAGAGGTAGATTCCCAGGGCGTATGCGACTGCGTGGCACAAGAGAGCGTTAGTATCTGCTGATTCATTTCTTCTTCTCCTCTACTTTCGTTGCAACAGAGACTTACCAATGTACCATCCTTGCGCCACGAAAATGCGCAGGAAGAAGAGAAGCAAGGCCACGGCAGTGCCGATCCATCGGTACATGACATACGGAGTTGACTGGTCCAGAATCGCTTGGTATTGCTAGCCATAGTTAGCACATCAGCAGCTCCAGGAAGACAGGATGAAGCGAAATAAAAGCCAAAGTCGCGAGCACCTACTCTCTGGATCCTGGTGGTATGGGCTGTAACAGCCGCGAAAGGGGTCTGTTCGGGCTCCGGCGCATCCATATTGAAGGCTGTAGCACAATTGCAACGGCTTAAACCAAGCTGGAGTAGAATGTAGATGAAAGACAAAGACAGCGGGTTGCTGCACCAACAATCGCAGGCCCGGCGTTCGAAATGGGGAAACGAGGTTATGGACAGCAAAGGGTCGATTTATCGCGAGGCGAGATGGTTTGGCGTGGGGCGCTGGCCAGCATGTGCTTTGCGTACGCTTTGATTGAAATTCAGCCACGTAAGGCTTGACCCCTGGCCGCTAAGGCGGAGGCCGCCGGTGTTTTGCCGGTGCCTGCAGACGCTAGCGTCGAAGAATATGGAGTTACTCCAACGGCTGGCGGAAATTGGGGACTTGGCAGGTATCCGGCTATCTTCAGACGAAAAACTCTATACAAAGCCACTTTCATGGAAGAAAGCGCCTTTTCCTTATTTGATAGACATATTTTCAGATGCTCAATATTGAAATGCCATTCCCAATGTAATTCTAGGTGTCTATTAAGGTATATATTACCACACGCTTCATCATAAGCCTGACTACATGTAAGGTCTTAGTGGTACGTATTTGTACGCAGTACAGTGGTGGACTAATGGGTAAGGATTGAAACCACCATTTGTCTCTCCCCATGGTGGTCCAACTGTATGGATGTGAATGAATGTAATGATTATACCGGGGACCAGCCAGGCCAGCCTAAGCCGCACAAGTCGCAACATCTCTGTAAATGAGTCAGCCAAGACCTGCTGGGGGGATGGAATGCACAGTTAATAGAGGCTCTGGTTTTCTAGAAGGCGTAGCGTTACGTTTGGCTCACAACGTGAACAAGTTCATCAAGCATTACATATGGCGCACCAGGAAGGAAGGAACAGTATAGACTGTAGAACCCGATTTTTCGTTGATATATAGCACATGTTTTTGGTGGTCACTGCCTATCTACACCATATGCTGATTGGGAGTTTTCCCCGCTACCAATCAGGGTCCTACTTTTGGAATAGGAGTGCTCACATTGCACCCCGGACAGACAGCACATGGAGTAGTCTTAATTAGCCGGGCAGTAACAATTGACTTCATTTAAATAAAACTGATGGATATTTGGATGGCGTTAACAACATGGTGTATGGCGTGCCGCCCCCCACATTAGTCTAACAGCTGCCTTAGACATGATGACTCGGTCCGTCGAGCGATGTTCCGCATTCTCGTAGTTAACAATCTAAACAACATATTTATGTAGGAACCAGAAACAGACGGTGAACGCCGTCCGCACAAGAATGTCTATCAGATATTGGGAGCACAAGCTCCAAAAATGCTTCATTCAAGCATGGCCGACGATCCGGAACAACTGGCACCTCGGCATGACCGCGTTTGGCGGACCACCGGTCCATTTCAAAATTGTAGGTTCACCAAACCATGACCAACTTTGATGTAGTAGTCTGACCTCGAAGCAGTTTCATGACAAGTTTGTGTTGAAACTCAATTGGATCGATGAGCAGATGGTACGCGCAAGTAGAGACAATTCTACCCATTCAGCAGACTGATAAAAGCCGTCCGATAGTACCAAGAGCTCTTCAGCGTCTCGCAAGCTCTATCAGGTCCAGCAAGCACAAAGATGCTTTACTGTGTTAATTTAATTAACAACGGCTTACTTGGAGCTCTGCTTGCGTTCTTCATTTGGAGGTAAGCCTAGACTTTCCTACGTAAAACCACGCTGCAGCTGAGAGTAACATTGCTGCACAGTTTGCCTGGAGCCCTGGGCATGTTTGGCCTCTCCATCGGCGTCTCTGAAATAGGGAGTACTTTACCCCGCGAAGTTTACGCCCTGCTCTCTGGGCTCAACGCTGCAACTGTTGGAATCATCTCCTTGGCAGCGGTTGAGCTATCAAACCAAGCAATTACGGACAAACTGACCAGAATTCTCGTCTTTCTTACTGGTTCTGCTGGAATGTTATATAATGCGCTTTGGTACTTTCCAGTCCTCATGTTCGCTTCCGGATGCGCTGCTGTTACTCACGACTACCGCTGGCTTCATCGTCTCTGGCGAGCTGTTAAAAGTATCTTCACACGTGCGAGCCCTTCATCGACGGAAGTAGAAAATGATGCAATCGAGAGAAATAGTCGCATGGACTCTAACAGCTCTACCACCACGCCTCAAGAACATGAACTCACCTCTGGGGACGAACCCGAGTCGCGCATCATACCGCACGAGTATCAGCTAAATTTCTCGTGGAGAACTGGAACTGCTGTCATCACAGCCTTCTTTCTTACCTTTATCGTCGTGATGGTACTCCGCGGAGTCTTGCATAACCCTCCTATCATGTATAAGCTCTTTGCTAACCTCTACCTCGCCGGAACTATCATCTTCGGCGGCGGACCTGTTGTAATTCCGCTGCTGAGGGAATACGTCGTAGCAGAGGGATGGGTCAGTCCTCGCGACTTTCTTATTGGGCTTGCCATCATACAAGCATTCCCAGGACCAAACTTCAATTTCGCTGTATTCTTAGGTGGCCTCACCGCTATTGGGATCGGGCAACCCGCCATTCTAGGAGCAATTGTTGCGTATCTGGGCATCTTCTTACCAGGCATAGTCCTGGTTCATGGCACAATGGGCGTTTGGAAGGTTTTACGAAGCAAGCCATGGGTCAAATCCGGGGTGAGAGGGATCAATGCAGCCGCTGTCGGTTTAATCTACACGGCTGTGTATCGAATTTGGCAGGTTGGGTATGTAGATGAGGGTTTCCAGGCCGGGAAGAGCTTGGGCGATGATCCATGGTGGGTGGTTGTGACAGCGACAGCTTATGTCGGAGGCAGATATTTTGGCCTCTCGGCGCCGCTGGCGATACTTCTCGGTGCTGGGATGGGATTGGTGAGATATGGAGTTGTTACGAGGTAGACTTTCTGAAGACAAATAGTGTTGAAAGAAGCCTGGACATATGTGATTTCAGTGTTCAATTGGAACACTCATCTCGCCTCTTCTCTACGGTAATACAATCCTAATATTCCAATCCCCTTATATAGCCTAAATCTCACCCTCGAGATTCGTCAGTGGGTCTTCGTTTCCGACGAACGTTTCCACCTGAAGCGCGTCATTGGTCTAGGGGTTAGGATTCAACTCTTCCATTCCAAATCGAAAAGTTGAGGCCCGGATTCGAGTTCCGGATGACGCATTTTTTTGCTTCTTATCACTTGCAAATATTTTTTGGTTGCAATTTACTTTCCGGCGTTACTCACTCATTCGATGTAAGTTGGAAGCTTCAGGAATCACCTCTTCACAACTATCTGTAAAACTAAAGAAGCCACCCCCTCCTCTTTTCTCTCAAGCCTCATGTGTCTCGACATGTGTCACCTCTTCATCAAAATCTGCGTTCTTGGCCCTCATCTGAGAAAGAACCGCGGCTGAAGTGCTGGTTGAAGCACCACCGCCCACCTTGGCCTCCTCACCGTCAAAGAACTTGGCAATCTCTTCCAGGGGAGTGTTCTAAAGAAAAGGCAAAGGTCAGCACGTTGGACATGAGCGAGAGTGGCTTCAGATCCTACCTTTGTTTCCACCCAGAGAAAGTACACGACGACAAATATAACACAGAGAAACACGTCGTAAAACTACATTTGTCATTGTTAGATTGACGTAGAACAACAGTTGTAATGTTGAAACTTACAATGTAGAATCTCCACCCCTGAGATTCGATGCCGACGGGGTTAATGTACTGGTTGAGCACTGGTAAAAAAAATCAGCCAACACTGTCTTGCAAAATATGAGTAATGAATGGGTGCACTTACATGATGAGCTGACGCCGAAAAACGTAACGTTGAGACCTTTGGCGCGGATCTCATATGGCAGAATCTCAATGGGATACGCCAACACCAGACCTTGCCTAAACAACTCTCATCATTAGCATTGTCCAGTTTTATCAAACACAACACTCAGACTCACCATCCACAGTTGAATGCCGTGTAAAACAAAAAGATCATGACAATGACGCCCTTTGCATCAGCCCCATCCCCCGTAATGTTATACCGCGCCGAAAGAATCGTCCACAACACAAAACACACAATCATCGACCCCGTACTCCCCAGCACCATCTTCCTGCGTCCAAACCGGTCAATGTTAAACGCCGCCCAGATGGCAACAATAAAGTTCCAGATCTGCAGCCCGCCATTCAGACCCGCCTGCTCGGCATTCTTGGTGATGCCAATCGTCTCCAGCACGGGCACCAGATAGTACGAGACCAAGCCGTTGCCGCACCACTGCGAGAAGAAGCCCTGCAGGTAGCAGATGAGGGTGCGCTTGCGGTTGCCTGGGGTGCTGATGAGGTCGAGCCAGCCGCTCTTGGAAGAAAATTCTCGCTCTAGGGCTAGCGTCTCCTTGATTTCGGTGAAGGAGGTCTCTACGAAGTCGGTGCGCTCGCCGTTGCCGTGAAACTTGACGAGGACGTCGAGTGCTTCTTCGTGGCGGTCCTTTGCAATGAGGAAACGAGGGCTCTGGTTTTCATCATATCAGACGGAGAACTGAAATTGAAGAGATACAGAATTGGGATACTCACCTCAGGCAGGAACCAAATAAACACAATCTGCACAATGGCAGGGAAAGCCTGGATAATGGAGGGAATGCGCCAGGCCCATTCACTATTGAGATTGATGGTGCTGTTTCGGTCAGCCCCGAGCCTCAAAACACTCGAATGCTCAAGTTATGTGAATAAGAGATAATACATACCCAAAAGTCACCCATGCAGCGACAATGGATCCAAAGTACCACGTCGAGTTGTAAATCGCCGTAATTGTGGCTCGATGTTGGGTATGAGCCAGTTCAGTCACCATGAGAGGCGCACTCCCGTGGTCAATCATGACGCCAAAGCCAACAATAAATCTTCCTGCAACAAACATGCCAACTGTATATCACAACAACCACGAGGTCAGTCACACAGTCTATAGCTAACTGAATCAAGGGGAAAAGGTTACTTACCATTAATACTGGCACTCTGAACAGCCACTCCAATAATGGCAATAATACTTCCAATCACAACTCCCCATCGTCTCCCCAGCTTATCAGCAATCGTAGCAGGAAACGGGAATGGAATCACTGCAACCAACTGCCCAAGCGCAAAAGCAAGGTTATAAAAAGCCAGCAACGAGCCACGAGGATGGTGAAAGTAGTCCTGCCACTGCCCGCTCGTCTGAAGAGCATTCATCATGGAGCCATCGTAGCCGTTGACCATGGACGTCATGAGCGGCACGAGAAGCAAGAAGTATAGATGGCGAAGACCCGGCTCACGCCACCAAGTCACCTTTGGGAACTCTTTGTTGGCGAGCCTGAAGGTGCTGGACGGCGGAGCCGACGACTTGAGTGGGTTGGCGAACTTCATCTTTCAAGTCACGACGGCTTTGTTCTCACCAGCTGTGGGTTGAGAGGATATGTGATCGGCAGCGGTTGTGATGAGATGAGGGCTCATGCATATCGGCTGCATCTCCGCATTCACGAACGGGGGGGTCTATATATACACACGAGGGAAGCATAAGACGACCACGCAAGTAAAAGGAGGGGAAGCATCCCCCTTCTCTGCCCATCAAGCCACTAACACTCTAAGGCTTCTCATGACTCTCACGACTTTGGAGCTATCGACAATGTCTTCAGCTTGGAAAGCAGCCGGCTCTTAGTCCAGGACAGCAAGTGGGGGAAACCTCGTGCCTTGAAATCGACTCCAATAGCCATGAACCGACCCCCGGCACCGGACTTTGTCGCCGTGGCTTGAGGGGATCGGCAGCGTATACTCCAGGTTGAGATGGTACCTTAATGCCGAAATGACAAAGCCAACAAGAAGCTCTAGTCCGGGTATATTCGTTCTAACAATCTTCATTCATGTCTAGCGTCGTGGCTGGCGACGGTTCCTTGATATAAGCACTACAAAATATCGTCCATTGGCCTTTTAAACGTTTACCCCGAGCTAATCATCGCAACAAGTCAAATTTCAATGTTATCGTGTTCCAGCAGAATCTGGGGAAACTCACGCTTGAAATGTGGAATAACCTGGGGAATGCTGGCCAAGTGGAGATGTTGAAGGTGCTTTAGCCGGTTATGCGGGCGACTATGGCTGCTTTTGTCTGGAGACATGAGTTAGTGGAAAAGTGTGGAGTTGAAATGCCGGTGTTTCGTCCATCGCCAACTCGGCTATTTTCCCAAACCGTCCAGCAAGCGAGGACTGACAACCTTTAAGAAACATCGTCGTATTAGAATCCCTTCCCAATATGATAAGCATCTCGAGAAACTCGCGGGGTAGCACATGGTAAGACCCATCAGAAATGTGGAGGATGCGGGGGAGCTTTTGATCTCATGTTCACATGAAGCATCGTGAATGGTTGCCCAGCGTGGGGAAGAAGACATCCGAGATCGCATTGCGCCTCTCTCATGTCTTTATTAGTTTTGCCTTCCTGGAGAAGAGTAGAGCTGTAAGATAAGCACTGCGGTTCCTGGAAAATGAGCAAATAAACTCGAACTGGAGCTCTTCTTATATCAGCTCAGCTGTCAGGCCCTGGTCGTTCATCCTGCATACCTCAACCTTTTCTCAAAGAATCCCTACAAACCCCATCTCAACCTAAACAATGGCCACGTACCTACGGACAGACGTCCACGATGGCTGGACCTTCAAGCAAGCAGACAAGCCAGACTCGGACTTCAGACCCGTTGCCCAGTTTCCCACCGTCATCCATCTCGACCTCCTACATCACGACCTCATCCCAGATCCGCCCAAAGATAGAAACAGCGAGCTGATTCAATGGGTTGGCGAGAAACAATGGCTCTACAAAACATCATTCACCTCGCCGCAAGCTCCATCAAGCACTGGCAAGGTATCTCATACCATGGTTTTCGATGGTCTCGATACATATGCCAAGATCAGTCTAAACGGCGAAGAGATAGCCAACACTGCCAACATGTTCCTCCAATATCGTGTCGATGTCACGGATACATTGAAGCCAGCAGGCCAAGAAAACACCCTTGAGCTTCTCTTCGACTCTGCGTTTTTGGAGGGCAAACGTCTGGAAAAGGCGCAGGGCTACAAGAACCTGTTCTGGAATGGCGATTCCTGCCGCATGAACGTCCGCAAAATTGGATGTCATTTTGGATGGGATTGGTGAGTTTTCATAGTGTTTAGCCTTATATGATGGCGCTCAATATTCAATGACTGACCATGACGATTAAAACAGGGCGCCGACACTGCTAACCTGTGGCCCATGGCGACCAATTTATCTCGAATCATTTGTAACTCGCATCGCCGACTTGAACATTGATATTGATGTTGCAGACTTGTTGGATGACGCAACTTTGACTATCACGTCAGAGTTGCAGGGCCACGATGACAACGAGCATGCGGTCCAGGTCAGCATCGCCAACCCAGACGGAGAAACTGTTTTCACTGGCGACGGGAACGGCAAAGTGAAGCTCACAAGCCCCAAACTGTGGTATCCAGTCGGTTATGGAGAGCAACCGCTATACACGGTCACAGCTGTTCTAGGTAACCAAAAGGTCATCCGCAAAGTCGGTATCCGTCATTTGCGTCTGGTGCAGCGGCCTCTCGAGAACGGAGCCCCAGGAACGACCTTCTTCTTCCAGGTCAACCAGATCCCCATCTACTGCCGTGGTGCTAACTGGGTGCCCGGCGATACCTTCTTGCCGAGGATCAATGAAAAACGCTATCGTCAGTGGATCGAGCTGGCTCTCCATGGCAACCAGAACATGATACGCGTCTGGGGAGGAGGCCTTTACGAAGACGACTCGTTCTATGAGATTTGCGACGAGGTCGGAATCCTCATCTGGCATGACTTTCAGCTTGGCTGTGGCGTTTACCCTGTCTCGGACTTCATGACCAACACCATCCGTGAGGAAGCCATTTACAACCTCAAGCGACTGCGACACCACCCGTCCATCGTCTTATGGTGCGGAAACAACGAGGACCATATGTTTGCTGAACTGCATCATCTCGAATACGACATCAACGATAAAAACCCAGACAACTGGCTCAAGACAAACTGGGCGGCGCGATGGTATTACGACAAGATGCTCCCCGATATCTGTGCCGAACTCGTCCCTCGCGTTCCTTACCACAACTCCTCTCCTTGGGGCGGCACATACAGCAATGATCCAACAGTTGGTGACATTCATTCTTGGAGAGTTTGG